TATCTCCGGTCCACTTTATGTATCAGACTGGTGAAGCCCTCTCTGCTAACTGTATTTATAGGCATCATGTCTTTAGCCAAAAAAATGTGTAATGGCCTCGTGTTATTTCTTTGTAGCACTTCGACGTTTTCTCATAAGGAGTTCCACTTGAAAAACTCTTTGTCTGTCGGTGCTCTTTGTCTTAACATTAGCAACCTTTGTTTGGCTAGCCCTGTCTTTCTGGAACTCTTCAAACAGTTCTCTGTGGTTGTTGAAGATGATAGTGGAGATGTTTCCTCTGGTGGTTGCCACGAGTGTTCGGCAAGTTTTGCAGAGTATCTGTGTTTGGAGAACGTCGTCCTTATCAAATCCAAAGTACCTCCAAATAAGCGAGGTACTTTTTTTTTTTTTTAGGCACAAGTTCATAGTCAGTAGCGTTTTCGTCATGCGTCTCGCTCTCAGCCATTACAACTGACTTGTTGCTGCAGCGTTGTTCGCTCCCCACCTACGTAGGAGGCGGGCCTCTAATCCATTTGATTGGCCATGAAGGGCTCTATTCGACTGGTCAAATGTGTAAATGGGTTTCTTTGATTGGTAAATTCTTTAAAGCACGTGTGTAAACATTTTAAGGTACCCAATTATCGCAGTTTACGCCGTCTTTTGCGATGGGCCCATTGAACATGCTGGTATCGTGATGACTATAAATTTTCGATTTATTGTGCAGGCCTAATAGTAACCAATGAACAAACTCATATGGAAAAGAAATAGTAAAAACTTACATGATTTACTCATGAAAGTGGCCACTTTCTCATTACTTTCATATATTGTTTTAGTAAGTATCCAAAACATACAAGTTTCATTATATAATTTTTCAAGGGATCTTATATCTGTTTTTACTCTTGTAAAATTTTCATACAAGTTTCACACAAGACAGATACAAACTTTATAAGATTTATATATATCTTTTCCATATGGGAATGCAGCAGTAATGTATAAACACAGAGAGAGAGATGCATCTATTTCAGGGTTACATGATCCAGCCCTAACTAAAAGCTTTATTAGAAAGAAAACTAAAGAGGGTGTCTGTCTCCCAAATCCAAATTGGGAGCTGGTTCCACTGCAGAGGGCCCAGAAGCTGAAGGCTCCGCTTCCCATTCTACTTTAAAAAAGCAAGCCTGCAGTCTGAGAGCAAAGTCCTCTGTTAAGATGATAAGGTACTATGAGGTCTTCAAGATATCGCGGGGCCTGATTACTCAAGATTTTGTATGTAAGAAGAAAAAGTTTGATTCAATTCTGGATTCGACAGGAAGCCAATGAAGAGAAGCCAATATGGGAGAAATATGCTCTCTCTTTCTAGTCCCTCTCAGGACTCTCGCTGTAGCACTCTTGAGCAACTCGAGGCTTTTCAGAGAGCTTTTAAAGCGGCCTGATAATAACGAATCACAATAGTCCAACCTCAAAGTAATAAATGTAGAGTTATAGTTTCAGCATCACTCCAAGTCAAGATGTTTCTAATTTTAGTGATATTGTACTGATAAATGAAATCAGTTCTACATATTTGCTTAAGGTGCACAAATGGTAAAAAATTACAAACATGAATCTGTGATTGGCTGCAAACTGGACACATTTGAAGCTGTGGTGGAAAGAAGGTCAGAGGACAAACGATTCTCCATCCTCTGAAAAACATGCTGATAACCTTCTCAAACAGAAACATCTTTTATTGTTTGCTGTGATGTTGTTAACTTTTTTGTTGTGTTTGAGAAAAGAGAATATTTTATTGCATAAAACAGTGCTGATCGCATTTTTCAAACATCTGCTTTGGCAGCTGACTGTGGGGCTCGGTACACCCGGCTTGGCGTGGAAAAACAGAGTGTGAGACTCCAGCTTCTCTTTAGTCTGATGACTCAAACAGGCTCTCCCCCACTCTGTCATTTAAACAGTGCTTTACAAACCTGAACATTGGAGCTAACAGCTGGATTTTCCTGTTTCAGTGCAGCTGAGACAGGAGACAGACAGTGAAAGTGGACGGTACATCCTCGGTTTAACACAAGAACTCATTGTTGCAGGCAGGGGCAGCACAAAAGTGACCCCTTAAACTGATTTTTATTCCAAGTCCCCCTGTTTTCCCCTGAGTTATTGGTCCTGTTACTATGCCTGTGAAGGTTCTCAGTCAGTCAAGGAGCTTGGAAAGAAAAGTGTCTGGACTTCTTTAAGTTTCCTTATTGATCCTCTATTAGGTAGAGGATCAATAGGGGGTCCATGACCCTCTTGGGGACACTCCCATAGGGATTAAAATCTGGGACTCGCCACCAATTGTTCTTAGAACTGAAGAAGCTTCTCCACTGAGAGGTGAAACGTCTTTAAGGAAATTTAAAGAGGTCCAGACGCTTTTCTTTCCAAGCTCCTTAGACGATTCTGTTACTAGCTAGACTTACATTAGTTTATTTTAGCTATTAACCACAACCAACCAATGGTGTCACGTTCTGTACTGAGAGAAGATGGCGCTACGCATTTTTTAGCACTTATTTCTTAAATCCAGCTTCACAGACAAAGTTACATCCATGGCTGTTTTTGAGAGCAAGGCTCCATCATGTAAATCAGTCTTTATACATGAAGTGTTTCAGGTCCACTTTAAGCATAATTAAATACCAAAGAGTGCAAAGCCCACATCAGTGTTATTGGATGTAAGAGAACATATGAAAGTTGCATGTATACTTAAGTGATGATAATAACGTACATTTACCTTCCTTCATTTCAGTATCCATAAGAGATGAATTTGTCCACTATAATCAAAAGAATACCATGCTTTATGGTGAACTGAGTATACTGTGTATTCATTGCTCCCGAACTTTACCCGTTATTCACAGGGATTTAATTTCTAGTATTGTGGCCCCATCCCTAGGGACTGTAACGGTATAACCCTAACCCAATATTCCAATTATGTGTGACTCCACTACATTCATGTCACAATTTTAATTAATTAATTTACAAAATTAAGACACAGAAAATATCTTACAGCTCCAATAAGCTACTTTTCTTTTTAATTATTTTACTAATTTGGAAGTTAATTTTGATGTTCATTTGAGCTCAGATGTTTATTTTAGAAAACAAATCAACATTGATTATAATTATAAACTGTAGGACTGTGATGCTGGGAGTTACATGAATTCACACAGCCTAGTAATTAAAAACGTAAACAGTAAGTTAATGCAACTCGAACTCGATTTCCTTATTCGGTTAACACTGGTTTAGTGCTTGGCGGTGACCAGCACGTGTGAGGCAGACACTGTAATAGTGCAGGGTGTGTGAGTGTTATTTTCTGACTTGGGCCAACAGCCCCCCATCCAGTTGGTTGGGCGACCAGACCAGTTCAGAAAGTCTGGATCAGACCCGACAGACTGCTTTGGGCACATTCTCGTGGGATTACTTGCATTTTTTTTTTTTTACTTACGTTACATTTTCAATACAAAAATCAGAGGTGTAAAGGTCTATTTCACGACATTGGTGCTTTTACATGACCTCTTCCACCACTCGTATGGGAAGAGTCCCAAAGCTCGAGCAGTCGTGCCAAATAAAAACAGATCTATTTCTGCTAATAAGTCTAAGCTGGGTAAAATAAGAAACACACGAAACTAAACATAAACTCAGCTAAATTTATGTTTAAGTGTGCCATGTTCTTACCTTCCGAGCTCTCTGCCGGGAATAACAGTGTAGTGGTCGGCGAAAGGTTCGTTGTGGATGGCGGTTTGGATTTCGGACAACAAGCCGCTGACACTACGGCTCTGGCTCGGTCCAGCTGCGTGGTTGTGATGAAGGCGGCTTCTGCTTCTCGAGTCCCCGGCACGCGGGCATTCGGGGATCATGGCGACGATTAATTGGACCGGTTAGTTGGCTAACGTTAAACACTTCAACACAACAGTCAGCACAATTACATTAAATGACGCCGCTTACTATTCTCCGAACGACAACAGAAACCAAACAAAACCCAAAACATTAGGGGGACAGAATAACGTCACGTCTTCTAGGCCAAGCTTCAAATTATTAGCTCAGTCTAACATTATATTAAAAACACAGCTGGAGAGCTCATTTTCATCACTCCACACTCAGCGCCCTGCCTGTCAGTCCCTCAACTTGCTCCTCACTTAGAAGCTGAACCGGTGCTGCGTTTTCTGTAACCATGGCAGCACGTGGTTATTGACAGGCGTGCCTGCCAATCGGAATGGGTTACAGAGAGAGAGAGAGGGAGAGAGCGAGAGACTTCTGTGTTGATCGGCGAATTAAAAATTAAACGTAAAATATATAGCGGGACCAGTTTTCACGTCCCTTTTAATATAAAAAAAATGCATACAATGTATACATTTCTATTGCTTTTAATAATAAATATTGATAGTACTGTAAGTCTCTTAAAAAGAAACACAAAAGATATGTAAACTACAAAGAACAGAAGCAACAGAAAAGCTAACTTAACAAAAGAGAAATAAAGGCACGCAAGTAATTACACAAAGAAACAAAAATGTAGAAAGAGACTAAAAGCACAAGACAAATCACAAACAGTTTTCAATGTAGGTTTGGTTTTTTATTTGGTTTTATTTTTCATTTCTTGATTTGATGGTGATGTGATGCTATATTACATGTTTTTAAGATTCAGTTGAATTTAAGATTTGTAATATAGCATCAAATCACAACCGTCTCCTCAAGTTGCTTTATACTGTAAGATAGAGACCCTACAGTAGCAGCAAGAAAGCCCCAATTAATTAATAATCCCTTATGAGCAAGCACTTGGCGACAGTGGGGAGGAAAAACTACCTGTAACAGGCAGAAACCTCCGGCAGAACCAGGCTCAGAAGGGACGGCCATCTGCCTCGGCCGGTGGGGGGTGATGGTAACGATAATACGAGGAGACACGATGAAGAATATTTCTCAGTCTAATTAAAGTCGAATGAAATAGTTTTAAAATAAAATATACCTCAGATGTTAACTCTGAGGCCAGACTGCTTTAAGATTTTAAAAGAGGTATTTGAAAAAAATCAAGATGACAATTTAGTCATCAGTACCGCCTTTAAAGCAGCAGCTGAACAGCTTCTTAAAAGCTTTTAACACTGCTGAAAAAAACCTGGCAAGTTTGGATTTCTTTGGAAGATTCATGAAGACACTTAGATTCTTTCTTATGATCTTCCTAATAATGTCGTCAAAAGATGAATCTTCTGACAACATTACATCAAAGAACGTGTCTGCAGATCCAAACTCCTTGATAAGACTATTAGCTGTGTCCTTGACTAACTTATTTATGTTATT